CCATTTCCCTCCCCCTCCCCCGATCAAGTCCCCCTACCTCATCAGCTCGAAGAGCAATCAGGGTTCCCTGACCTGTGGGAAGTCCAAGGACCACCCACCTCCATCCAGGTCTAGTAAGGTGAGCATCCAAACTGCCTAGGCTCCCCCAAAGCCAGTAAGTGCAGTAGTACTGCGATTGTTCTTGAGTTCTCAGTATTCCTCATTGTCCGCTATGTTCAGCTAGTCCGGATTTATCCCATGGTTTTTCAGAACTAGGCCAGCTGGTAAAAGTATATACTCAACTATGTTCATGGCAGCATTGTTTGTAATAGCCAGAACCTGCAAACAACCTAGATGCCCTTCAACGGAAGATTGGATGAAGAAAGTATGGAATATATACATATCAGAGTATTACTCAGCAGTAAAAAACAAGAACTTCTTGAATTTTGTATATAAATGGATGGAAATAGAAAACACTATCCTGAGTGAGGTAAGCCATAAGTGGTTTTTAAACACAAAGCAAAGAAAACCAGCCCACAAATCACAATCCCAGAGAACTTAGGCAACAAGGAGGACCCTAAGAGAGAAAGACATAGATCTGATTTACATGGGAATTAGAAAAAAAAACAAGATCTCCAATTAGAAAAAAACAAGATCTCCTGAGTAAATTGGGAGCATGGGGATCTTGAAAGAGGGCTGAAAGGGAGGGGAGAGGCAGGGAAAGAGAACAGAGAAAAATGTAGAGCTCAATAAAAATAAGTGAAAAAGTGGACTCGGGAACAGTGAAATGGTGCTCAGGCACTTAAATTATGTTCAGAAACATCAACTATAGCACAGTTATAGAAAATAGTTGGTTTCTTGTTATCAATGAAAACAAGCCCCAGACAGAGGATAAAGACAAAATGAAACCTAGAGTTAAGAGTGAATGAAAAATGCTAGAAACCAATGTCTGCATGTATTCAAGAAAATTTCCTTCTCATGTTCACAGATATTACACTGTCTCACATGTATTATGACCCTCATATTTGTTTAACATAGGAGAAGAAGCTCAGATCATCTCATCAAAATCTTACAGCGTCCAGCCATTTGTGAGTGGATTTCATGATAAGAGGAATTTGTCTGTGTAATTCCATACTGCCTTGGCTGGGAATGGCTCTTTTCCACTGCCACCCATGAGAGCCATTAGTGTGACCTCATACTGGGGAAGCAAGTGTTCCATTGTACACATTACCAAGAAGAACAAATATGGTGAAATGCTGAGATAAGCACATATAGAACTCTAAATTTTAGAGAGATCTGACCCTCTATAATGGGTAGCAGGTGTTGCCTCAGGGGTGTTTTGCTCTGAACTGACAATCCACAAGACTTATCAATCCTGACAAGTGATAGAAGAGAATCCATGCATCTGGTGTTTTTCCCTTGCAATATTAAGTGCTTACAAAAAATCCCAAAATTGTACTAAAAGGTAATAGAATATCATCTGTGGCTCATATTTTTGTTTGGATATAGTTAACTACACTTCATATTATCAAACACATGCATACAAAATCCGGCATAGTGCTATTGACTTCTCACATTTGTGGGAGTATTTTCCAAAGGTATCCATCATTGGTGGAAATGTTTAACTCCTTGAAAGCTTTATTAACATGTGTTTTGTCTAGGAACAAAAGGTTGCTGGGCTTGAAATGGCAGACAGATAGAAAAAGCTGTTTAAGAATCCTCTACACATGAGGGTACTTTGCAAAGAGATTCCATTTCTCCACTCCTTACTTAAATGCATGCAAATGTGGTTTGTGAAACAAATTAAGTCACAGCAATTGTTGCCCTGAATTTTTTTCTGTCTTTAAGTCCATTTATTTGGCTGAATGGATTTGTTGACACACACATATCAAACATCCCTCCACTACCAAGATAAGGCATACTTGGCTATGATGGTTCATATTTTGATGTATGTATTTGATTTGCAAGTACCTTGTTTAAAAATTATGAATATTTTGCAATTATTTTACATTAAGACTACAGTTTCCCTTCCCTCACTTCCTCTTGTTGCCTCTCCCATTTGCCCACTCGACCTCTATTCACTCCTCTTCTCTTTCAGTTCAGAAAGCTTTCCCTTGGTTTCTATCTCCTTCTCAATGTGAATATATTTTTCTAATGTGATCATCACAGTGGTCCCTCACCTTTCAGCTGATTCCTGTATTTGAGTATGCCAGGAATTCATACATGGATGCACGAGGGGCTGCATTTGATATCAAGACACATTGTGCTTCTGACTTCTGACAACTCAAATAAAATACCAAATATAAAACTAGACATCTATGAACTGTTTGCTATTTCCAAACATTTTGTTATAGAAAAACATTGTAATTTAGTGTGTCTACACAGTCCTTTGCTCCCAATAACCTGGGTGTTTTGTCATCCCACATTCATTCTATAATATCTACAGTTTTACTTTTTATTTACACTTCAAAATCCTAGAGTTAAAATTAGCTTTTTTATAATACTTAATTTCAGTTTACCCTACAGAAACTCCTTAATTTACTATTCAGGACCAGTACACATTTCAAAATTCCTGTCTCTTGTTTTCTCCATCTGCTTTCATTAATCTGTATTTTTACTATATCCTTCACATTAATTCCTCAGATCATATGGACCCATTTCTACTCTCTTGGCTTTTGCAAAATAAACCCACAAAACATAATATTCAAGTGTAGGAACCAGTTATGAGAAAGAATATGAACCATTTGTCTTCTTAGATCTGGGTGTCCGCACTCATCATATTTATTCTTGCTTCATCCATTTACCCACAGGTTTGGTCATTCATGCTTTAGCAGTGATTAATATTTCATTGCCTTAGTAATCCACAGTTTTTGTTATATATTCCCCCTTTGTTTGAAATATAGGTTGATTCTATAACCCAGCTGCTGTGAATTGAGAAGCAATGAACATGGGTGTGTTAGTGTCTTTATAAGATGTAGCATTATTTAAAGCATGCTTAAAGAGCTTATGCCTTGGGCTCCATCTAGTTTTATTTATCAGTTTTTAGTAGAAATAGAAAACTTATTTTCAAAATCACTACTCTAGTTTATACTCCCATTCTGGGTGAGTAAGAATTACCCTCTTCCTGCATCCACAACTGCATTTGTTGCAATTATTTCTTGCTTATGATCATTTTTATTGAGGTAAAAATATAGCACTGAAGTTGTTTTAATGTACATTTCACTGTTAAGAGGTTGGTTGCAGAACATAGAGAAACCAACCTTGAACTGAGCAGGCAACTCTCCCTGCTGACTAGGTTTCCTAGTGCAGGACAATGTCATGCAGCCTGCAGTGAGATAAAATATTTCATTGATGATACACAGTACTAGACCATCTAGTCCACAATATCAGCCTTCCAGGGAGATATACCCACTATTTCCTGTATTTTATGTACTGACCATATGCTTTCTAATTGTATTTGTGACTTGTGACATAGGCAATATCTATCCCAGTAAGCATGTTCAAAAATCCACAGCTAGGGATGACATAGCCCTAGTAACTGTAGTTGTATTGCTAATGGTCATATTGTGAAACTGCCTCATAAATACTTATATTTTTAGCCAATAAAGTAATTTTGCTCTTAGCCTTGATCACAGAAGCTTCTGTGTGCTGTGTTAATGCAGAAGTTCATGGTTGGTCAAAATGATGAGCATGAATGACTGTGTACTCAACCAAAGAAGAAACATTTGTATCAACCTCCCATTCAAAGCTCAAGGACCATCACAAAAGAGGGACTGGGAAGAATGTAATACTCAGAAAATGAGGTGGATAGACAAGAAAAAGTACCTTAAGAGCTTGAAATGGTGATTGTACACATGAAGTCACAGCAGCTATAGTTACCAACAAACATTGAAAAATCTAGCCATTCGTAATACAGGATGAGAGCCCATGAAATATCAACACTGTCAAGCTTAGCAATATCAGTTCAATCCTTTGGGCCCACATGGTAGAATTCAAGAATTGAATTTCAGAAGTTGTCCTGTGATGAGAACAAATACCACTGTGGTCATGTATACCCTGTTATGAGTACTAAAGATTGGATAATATTTAATAAAACATTACAACACAGATGGGGAAGGACTCCTGAGGATACAAACCAAGGTTTGCATTTATTGCCATTTGGTACCTGATGATATAATCATTTTCTTTGTAATATTTCTGGAGTTCCCTATGTACTAGGAAATAGCACACTTATGAGTATATAGATAATACGAACTGTATTCACTGTGTGCGAGTCATAATATCTGTGTTTCAGAGATATTTTTTAATTAATATGGTTATCCCCAGTTTCATCCATTTTCCTAATAGTGTCCTTATTCTTTCCATATGAAAAGCTTCTACTGTGTTGTTTATATAGCAATATCTTCTTGATAGAGTCATGTTGACAGACATGTTTATTTTCATAATTTAGTTATTGTATATTGCTGCAATGAACATTAATTTCTGAATATTTTAACAATAATATTTAAAATAATATAAAATAATAAAAATAACAGTATTTCTGAGGTATATTTATTTTTGGTCATTTCAGTCAGTTTTAAGTGTAAGACCTGCTGTGAAGGAAACTGTTATTAGTATTGAAGGAGGTTGTAAATTCTCATAATTAGCAGAATTTGAAATTTTCAGTCACTACCATCATGATCACAAGCACCTGCTGTAAATCCATCTGAATACCTGTTGCAAAGTGGAACAAATGCCGCAGGACAGAAATCAATTGAAAAGTTAAGCCTTGATGTTACACCCGCAGGGGCTGCCCATGACTCAGAGGAATTATTTCTTGGAGCTCTACATACTGCTGTCTGATCCACATCTCCTCTCCCTCCTTCTTTTATAACTGGACTAGGTTCTTCTCTAAACATTTCCCTGCTCATGAATATGCAAATTACTAGAGTCTACTCTGGTAAATACACTGATGTTTACAGGCCAGGACAATATATGGTTAGTATCATCTGCACAGTCACTGAATACACAAAGTCTTCACCATGAATTGGAGCTGGATCATTCTCTTTCTTATGTCAGTAACTACAGGTAACAGCCTTTCAAAGTTCAAAATCCTAATAAGGAATAGTACTGAGGTAACAATGATACCTACTCTGTCTTTGTCTCTGCAGGTGTCAAATCCCAGGTCCAGCTGCTGCTGTCTGAAGCTGAGCTAGGAAAATCAGGGTTTTCAGTGAAGCTGTCCTGCAAGGCTTCAGGTTACACCTTCACTGACTATATGATGAACTGGGTGAAGCAGAGGCCTGGACAGGGACTGGAGTGGATTGGAAGGATTTATCCTGTAAGTGGTAGTACTGACTATGCTCAGAAAATCCATGGCAAGGCCACACTCTCTGTAGACAAATTCTCCAGAACAACCTACATGGAACTCAGCAGACTGACATGTGAGGACTCAGCAGTCTATTACTGTACAAGACACAGTTTTGCAACAACATCCTGAGTGTGTCAGAAACCCTGGAGAAGCAGGAAGATGCACTGGGACTGAAATGAGAGAGAAGTTGGGCTTGAAGATTTTCACAAAAATAATTATCCTGAGTATCTTTTTTTGTCTATCACTTCAGATAGTCTCACAGGGTCTTTACAAACATTTCAAAATTGCAACTATAATTAAAGTGATGCTGATTTAGGATGCCCTAGTGTTCACCATGCCTTGGCAGTATGTTTACCACTAACCACCACCTATATTGTTATATTTCTTCCTTAATGATATACTAAAAATTGAAAGCTGATTATGCATTATGACACAAATCTCTGGATTCTAAGGGGGTGGGAATTTTTGAAGTAGCTTTTAATAAAATAAAATATTAACATGACCAGTAAAGTCCAAATATTAACAACTGGGTAAACAAAAATCTTTTCATAGTCTTAAACGTCACACATCCTCTCCAGTGTTGAGGTAACTCTGACTTTATGGTCCAGCGTAAGTTCCAGTCTTTTAGAATATGAGATACATATCAATATGCACTGCCACACAAGTGTAATTCCTCTAAGAAGGTCAAGAGTATTATTGAATTACTTTTCACAAAAATCATTAATAAATGAATGCATGTACATGTTAATTGATGTAGATTCTGACACAAATTATTCTTTTGTCCCATATTTACTTCCTTCCCAGTCTCTGAAAGCTGCCCCATACTCATAAGCCTTTTTAGAACATGGATCTAGAATGCTACATTATTAGCATTCACAGGCTATTGGATACTTGGTGGATACCTTTATTCTATAGAGTGTTTGGCTTTTTGCCTGTTAGCATACTTTTAGTCACCATCCATCAAGTTAACAATACTAAAGAATGGGTTTTTTGCAGATGTTGAAATTATATAATGCAGAGTTCACCATTCATCATTGAAACATTTACTCAATATCACCTTAGACAACAAAGACAGATGTGAGAGCCATAGTTGCAGCACTGTGAACCAATAGGCAAACTTATATTAGTGGGTTCTTCAAATTTGTAGGTGACACTGGAGATCCACCAGTTCCTAAGAAGAAACTGACAACATAAGCTGATATGAAAGACATAACTTGCTTAGCCTAGATATGGGGGGAAGACCTTGGTCCTGACTCAAAATGATGTATCAGACTTTGTTGATTACCTATAGGAAGCCTTACACTCTCTGAGGAGTGGATGGGGATTGGGACAAATGTAACGTGGGGGAAACAGGAGTAGGGAACAAGAAGGAACTGGGGTTGGTACACAAAATTAGAAAAGATTTTTTTTAAAAAAATAAATCAATAAGTTGTGCACAGAGAAAATTAGTGTCCCAGTGTCTGATGGGAGCAGGATATTCAATGCACCTTCTCACCATCACCTTTATGGTTAACTCTGATGAGGATTGGATGGCCCATGAACTATTGACATGTGAGTGTCACATTAACAAGCCCGGCTGTATTGACATTGTTCTCAGTGATATGAAAGAGCTCTTTCTTTATGTATCTATCTATCTTTTGCTTTCATTGGTTAATTAATAAAGAAAACTGCTTGGCCTCATAGGTCAGAACATAGGTAGGCCGGAAAGACAGAACAGAATTCTGGGAGGAAGAAAGCAGAGTCAGGCAGACACCACGAAGCCAGCTGCCAGGTCAGACATGCTGAATCTTTCCTGGTAAGCCACCACTTTGTGGTGCTATACAGATTATTAGAAATAGGTTAATCAAGATGTGAGAGTTACCCAATAAGAGGCTAGAACTAATGGGCCATGCAGTGTTTAAATGAATACAATTTGTGTGTTGTTATTTCGGGTGTAAGGCTAACCATGCCAGACGGGACAAAAAGCAGGTCTGCTCACCTCATCATTATACTTTCTGCACTGGTGCCTGCCTGCATGGAACTGAGAATTAATTTCCCTAGACAGATTTAGAACATGGAACTCACCACCCTCTGACTAACAGAGACACATTTTTCCTGGTCTGTCTCAATCAGATTACTGTTTTGATCTAAAGAATGCCCTTCCTTATTCATGTGCAAATTGCAGAGATTATGTTTTTACTTATACTGATGTTCACCACAGCACCACGTTTGAACTCTTTTGTTCACTGTCCCTGGGAATGCAGGTTCTCAGCATGAACTGCACTTAGATCATTATCTGGTAGCAGCAGTTCTAGGCAAGTGAATTCCTAGAACCAGACTTGACACAGAAGTCAGAGCTGAAATGACAGTAGCATACTTTCCAAAAGTGTCTATTCCCAGGTTCAGTTCCAGCAATTTGGTGTTGAACCGAGGAGTCTCGGAAGTGCAGGGAAAGTGCTCTATAAGGATTTTTTACTCATTCAGTTTCTTCACATATAGTGACAATATCTGTTATATGGTTACAGAACTGTAACTCAAAGATGGTTGCTAGAGCATTCTACTGAAAAGAGTCTTGACATTTTCTACTGGATGTAAGAGAACTTAGACCAACCATTTGATGTTAATCATGGAGTGAATATAAATAAAGAGGTGAATATTGAAGAGATGTGTCATCACCCATGGGGACTTCTCATGACACCAGAGATCATATCTACTCCATTCTGGTCTTTTTTTCTGTGATGACACTGGTATTCCCAAGGATACTTTCCTCTGTGATTTCAGAACAGACTTTATTTTTATAAGAGTAGCATAGGGTATTCCTTCACTTGTTGAATTTTAGTATTAGAACAAGTCATTTTTTTGCAGTTCTTACTTATAAGCAAACATATCTTCTTGTTTGAGCTAAGACTTTGAACAAAGTACAGTATCTCTATACTCTACTCCATGTTTTCTTGGAACCACAACATTTCTGAACAACTCACTCACTTTTTGCAGATCAATGTAACATCTCTTTTTCATGTATTTTTATATACAATTGCACAATGAAGTCTTAGATTAGGTTTTGATACTAGTCAGTAATCTAATTTTCTCACCAGGCATTTCATCCTTATGAGAAGAATAATATGGGCCCAAGCATAAAGCATCACAAAAATTCTCTTTGTCTTTCCAGTCTGGCTGTTCCGAGAGTATTAATTCTAGATGCTGATGAATCATATTTTCCCAGAGAAATGGGGTGCAGAGTTTGTCTGTAACTTTTCCTGGAGCTGATATACAGGATGAGTATTGCAAAGATATCCTGAAACACATTTTAACAGGCTATACATGTACACTAAGGAAACCAACGTGTATGAATATGTGAGTCAATCAGAGTGAGGTGATAGAAGCCGGATTCCAGACTTACTCATCACTGCAGGAGGAATTCAGGACAGCAAAAAAAAAAATGGTGCTGAGACCCTTAAGTGATGTTGAGAAAAGTCAAGTATAGAAAGAATTGCTGGACACTTGTGATAAATGAAAACAAGCCCATGGCAGAGGAGAAGTGTTAAGTAAATCTCAGAATAAAGTGTGAATCAATAATGCCAGAAACCAATGTCTGTATGTATTCCAAGAAATCTTCTGCTCACATTAATAGACATTGTACTTGCTTAGCAATATTGTGATCCTTGCATTGCCTTAACATGGGAGAAAAAGCTCATATCATCTCTTCATAATCTTACAGAACCCAGATTTTGTAAATTAATTATTTGAGACAGGAGGATGTTTTTTTATTTCCATTCTGCTTTGGCATTAAAGGACTCTTCTATAGGAAGAGCCTGCTTGTTGGTTCCCAGCTGCATGTCTATCTTAGGCCCGAAATAGTCACCCAGAAACTGTATCCGTTAAATCACTGCTTGGCCCATTAGCTCTAGATTCTCATTGGCTAACTCTTGCATCTAGGTTAACCCATCTCTATTAATCTGTGCATCACCATGAGGTCATGACCTACCAGCAAAGTTTCAGCCCCTCTATCTCTAGCGGTGGCTTCATGGAGTCTCCCTGACTCTGCCCTTCTTTTTCCCAGCGTTCAGCCTAGCTTTTTTTGCCTACCTAAGTTCTGTCCTGCTATAGGTCCAATGCAATTCTTTATTCATTAACCAACTAAAGAAACACATAGATAGAAGGACCTTCTGCACCAATCATTGCCACCAATGATAATCATCTGCATCTTATCACACTGAAGGATAAAATATTCCTTATACACGTTACGCAGAAGAATAGATATTAGAAATGTCAAAATAAGCCCATTCTGAAATCTGAACTTAAAGGAGATCTGTTCCTTTATAATGGTAAGTGGTTGTTTTTTAGATCTGAGTAGTTTTTCGATCTGAGCTGACAACCCGCAAAACATTGTATCAGTTCTGATCAGTGAAAGATGAGAAACCATGCATCTAATAGGTCTCAGCTACTTCTTTCTTGCAAAATTATATGATTCAATACATGACCCCAAATTTCAGGTAAAAAAAATGCAAGAATAGCCTTACTTCCTGTAGCATATATTTTTTGTTTTAGTATGTATAACTACATTTTGGACATTGAAACACATGCATGCTAAATACTATGTAATGGCAATGACTTCTCACATTTGTTGAAGGATATTTCATACTCATCCTTTATTAGTGGAAACCTGTAACTCCTTAAAAGCTTTCCTAACACATGCTCTGTCCAGGAATTAAAGATTCCTGGACTTGGAAAGGTAGAGAGGAAGAGACAAATCTGTATAGAGAGAAATATTCTCTACCAACAAGGATTCTTGTTAAAGAGATTTCCTCTCTCACCAGATTCCTTAAAAGGCATGCAAATACAGTATGAGAAAAGACTAAGCAACAGCATATATTCCCTTGATTACTTTTTCTGTCTTTAAGAACATTAATTGATTTATTAAATTTGTTGACAAGCACATTTTACATGTCCTTGCACCTCTCTGATAAAGAAAGGTTGCTTCAAAAGTATAATATTTTGTTGTATGTATGCTTTTGGTTTGCATGTAATTTTTATAAATTTTTTCAGTTATTTTATATTGAGATTTCAGTTTCTTCAACCTCTTCTCCTCCTGGTTCCTCTTCTATCTCCCCAGTGCCACTTCTACTCCTCCACTGTTTTTGTTGAGAAAA